ATAGAGATTCAAAATTGGACAATTAAAACGTATAGCCTACCACAGCATTAAAGGCAATCCAGGAGAGACCATATGCAATTTTCTGACCTGTGTTATTTCTATGCTGTCATCATTCTGAGGCATTTGATATGCTGCTCTTTGGTTTAAACCCAAGAATGGCATCTGAATTTTCACCATAATAAACTTTCTCAACAAACTTTGCATTCTCATTATTCTATCCATGCAAGCCACAAGGATTTTTTTCCTCCTTAAATGTCCAATCTGCAGGCAATGGTTGTGAAACTCCATTATTTCCAGGAACTGCTGGCAAACCTACTGCTGTCTGCTCTTCTCAGTATTGCCTGTATTTTCCTTGTTCAGTCTTAAAAGCCAAAATTGGTTTGCAAAAATGTCTGGGTTTCTTGATGCCAGAACTGAATAAAGAGTAGAACGGGACAGAATTAGATGGTTTTATTATGCTGAAAAGCCATTAACTCACATTAAAGTCTGTAAAACAACAAGAGCATAAAACTGGAAATAGATGCTCAGCCTTAAATCCTATTACTCAGAAATTTTCCTAGGCATTATCAATCTTTTTGGTAATGTCTTTTAAAGATCCACCTTAAATCTCTTTAAGCTCCACCACCCTCATCTGATCCTTACAATCAAAACAATGTGGAATATTTTTTGAAGTTGTAACTACTCGGATTTTCATCATTCAGTAAAGTGAAAATAGTCTGTAAAGAGAGCCTGTATTGTCCAATACAGATGATGTCTGCCACAGTTTGGTCTTCAACAGGCAGAGGTAAAGAATAGACAGGTGTTCTCAGTTTCCTGGGAAGAGAATACACAACAGGAAATATAGCCAAGAAAGCTGAGAGATGTGACAAAGATTCTGGATTATTGAAATCTTTCATCAGCAATGATGATCCAGTAATGGAAAACTCCCCACCTAAAGGTTATCTGCAGAACCACCCAGTGATCTCAGCCACACACAGCAGGATCTTCACAGAAAACAAGGGAATTACTCCAAATTTACACTGGCAGGACCAAGATCAGAATCTGACCAGATCCAAACAAAAACCAAGCAAGGCCACAGGCTGTAAGAACAACCAACAATGGAGACCTCTGTGATTCTGATGCACTTCAGTGACTGAAAATATTCCAGTGCTATTTTCTTCTTCTCCAAAACATCTTGGACCTCATCCTGTGTTCCTGAGCACTCCTGACAGACAGTTTGAAAAGGTAACTGATAAACTCACAATGGCCTGAGCTTCTTCAGCTGAGTATTCCCTCCCATTCCATTTGGGAAAGCTGTAATGTAAGGAGCAGTGTCTGAGGCTGCGTCCTGGGCAGGGGAAAGCGACCATCCATGATGTCAGCCGAGTTCATTCCTAAATGAAACCACATTGGGCTGTTGAGCACGATAATAAAAACCTGCTGACCTAGTTTCCTGCAGAATAAAATCCTCTGTCTCCCCTCCTCCTGTGCCAAAGCTAAATCAGATCTCAAAATTAACCCTTTGACTAGCAAGGAAAACTCTAACAACGATCCTCAACACTCATACAGCATCTCACACCATGAGAATAGCATGGAAACAGCAACTGCTCCATCCCCACAGCTCTGCAAAAAGGGAGGGTTATTGCAGGATGAAATAAGACCCAGAGAAGATCAGAGACTTTAGCAGACTTCAGCAGAGTACTTATTCTCCTCCTTCCAAAGGATTTTGAAGCTCCATGCTCCAACTACTTTGTTTGTAACATTTCTTCTGTGCAAATATAAAACCTTCATTCATGATGTGGCAAAAAAACCCAACAGCACAACTTGGCTTTTTTTAAAAACTGCATCAAACCACTCAAGAAAGGACCATTGTTCTTTGCAAATTTTGCAATGTCAACTTGCAAGTCCTTTTCTGGAAGATGAGAGCTGATTGTGTCTGCTCCAAGTGTCTGGCGAAAGCGTTCCCTTGTAATGGCTTCGCTTCCTCAGTGATGCAATGTTTCATTTGAAGGGATGCCTGGGGGAGCTTCAGAATGCACCCAGAATGCAAAAATAACAGGGCATGTCACAACAAACTCAGCCAAGAAAATACAAATGGGAATTCTTTGGCTGTAGGATGCTCTGCAGAGCAGAACCCACCGCACTCAGGTAGGAGCAGCTGGGGAGCCTCAGATTCCAGGCTGCTGAGAGCACCTTTGCTGGCTCACACTGACACTGTCAACTAGAGGAGTTTTCAGTCGTGTGTCAGTGAGGGTTTTATTAACAGAAGAGCAGAGATTAACTACTGCTATAGAGCTTTACAAATGGGTATTTTACAATGAGGTGACCAATGTGCAACCTGCAAGTGGAATTGCTGACTGTAGCCAGAGCTTTCAGCTGCTGTAAGAAAGACCCAGCACTGAAAAATTTAATCACTTGTTGCTCCTGTGTGAACTAAGAGAACTTTGCCTATATCCAGACAGCACCCAGGACCTGGAACGACTCCAGAGCTTCCCACAACAGCGTTTGAAAAAAGAAGGAAACAGGAAAGTGACAACTACAAGGCACGTCAGCAATGCCACTTCACCTGAGAAGAGGTTCCTGTCTCTGCCACTTTGTCAGTCTCTGCAGGGAAGCTGTTAAGGCTTACAGAGCAAAGACAGCACTTAATACACAGTACCCTCCAGGGAGTCTGAAGTGAAGAACAAAGAACCTGGATTAGGGAACACTGCAAAGGTTGTTGTAACTGTATCTGCTCTCTGGATGCTGCATCTTCACAGGTGAACTCCACAAAAGCTTCTGCTCCAACTTGGAAATGAGGAAGACAAAATCTGAGTTCCCACAGACTTACTACTAACATTGGTCAGGATTAGAAACATGATGCTGGAAAAAAATCATCTTATTCATCATATCTGCTCCCTGAGGGGTTAGGAGTTGTGTATGCTTTTTTTATTGACACAAACAAGTTTAACTTCTATTGTCTTGCAGAGGAAGAGAAGGCTGAACTCAGTTCTGGCTCACACATCATCTGCAATTCCAGCCAAATCCCAGCCACACAACTTTTATTACTGGGAGGATGTCAGAGGCAAAAGACACAGCTGGAAACGCAGATCCCAGACTGAGCTTTGCTGTGCTGGCAGGGAGACAAACCAGTTTTTGATTTGTATATAAACAGAGCCAATCTGAACTGGAAGCTCATTAAGAGAAAACACATTTTACACAACACCCATTGTACAGTTCCCTTTCCAACTTTCCCCATACCAACTTTTTTTTTTTTTAAACAAGACTTGGTCCTCTCTTCTTGACTGTTTCAGTGACAATTCCTGGGTGTGCTGAAGTCAATGGCCAATCCCCACTGGAATTGATGGAACTGAAACTCTTTAGACTGCATTCCAAAAAGGAGTTTGCCAAGAGAGACTGCAAATCCCCTCCTCTGCTTTCCAATACAGTAATTACCTGCAGAAAATACAAGTCCATTGCAGATGCAAAGGATGATGTTTCCAAAGCATGCCACAGCCTCAGATCTCACAGATTTACTTTAACTGAGACATTCACATTTTCTACTGTACTACAATTAAAATAAGGTTATGAGAATCCACAAAGAAACCACACTGCTCTTTGTGATCAAGGCATTAACACCCGATCCATTACTGTGAGAAGGCTTTTAAGAGCATTCCCAGTAGAAACAGGAATACTGAGTAAGCTTGGAGGAATGCAGAGATTCAAAAGCTTAAGCAGAATCCCTGCTAGATTTTTTTTCTGTTTGTTCCTCCTTTTTGATTAACTTGCTGTGATTATATGATATAATTGTTACTCTTTAGGGGTAAGAGTTAAGCATTTCTCTGAAAAAAGATCTTTGTCTGCCTATAATTAACAGCTGCAGGTTCAAATGAGGGACTAACAGAGATGTTGCTGGGCTATCAAAGCAGGGAACCTTCAGAAGCAAAAGGAAAGTGCCTGTCATTCTCCATTAGTTCCTCGGGGTCAGCGTTGGCAAAACACACTGAATTGTTCCATGTGTAACCAGCAAAATAAAGAGGTTGTTGTAGCTTGCTGTGCTTAAAAGGGGACTCCTGGGTATAACTGTTGAAAATAGCTTTAATCTAAAGACTGTATCTTTCTATAGCTTCCTGGAACCATGAAGAAAGTCCACACAAAATGTTTTAACAGGAAATCAACAAACCCAAAGACACTTCCTTCTGCTTGGACACAAATGTTCTAGTGACAGAATGGCTCCCAGCCAGGAAATCTGTGTTCCCAAGAGACTGCAAAGCTGGGACAAGAACCATCTGCAAAGCCAGGATGGCTCCTTGGAGCTTTCTTTACTCTGAAGATGATGCCTGTCTCTAATGTATGTGGAGGACTTTGAAAAATCATTCATGAAAGAATAGTAAAAGGCAGTTCTGAATGAACTAAGAACAAACAAAAGAAAAAAAAATTCCTTGTAATGGATTTTCCTGTTCTCCTGCATGTCCCTATCTTCAGACCCAGACTCCTGAAATGCAGCCATTATGCACAGCTTTATTTCTCTTCTTACCATAAGCTTAGCAATGCTGATGGTTTTTAAGTCAAATCAAACTTTCATCAGCTTCAGGGGATGGCTGCAATCCCTCTTCTCATCTTTCACGTTTTGAGATCAGTATTTCAAAGTTTTCATTCTGCTAAAATCATCTTGAGAATTAAAAGTATAAATTTCAATGCAGAGTATTTTGATTTGATTTCCATAAACCATTTTGTCCTCTAGCTGTATTTCTTCATTTCCCCCTGCATTTATTCTGAGCCCTTGGCTTCTCTGGCCAGGCTCTTCCCCTCAATCAATCCCTGCAGTGACTCCACTGATGTGCTGGGACAGGTCTCAACATCTGAGGGAGAATCTTTGAGTGTTTCCAAAGGCACCATTGCTCATTGCCCTGCTGAGGGAATCCAGGGGATGTGGCCCTCTGCTCCTGAAAGGATCTTTTTCCTCTTCCCCCTTGGTGGACAGCAAGGAATTTCCTTTTGCTGGAAAGCTGAGGAAGGACCTGGTCCATGGCAACCCCAGAGACAAAAAAGGGCAGATTTCCTTATTGACAAAAATATCTAACTTAGGACAAAATAGCTAAACCTAACTTAGTGCAATACAAAGCTTTTGTTCAGAAAGCAGCTTTCCTGGAGGGCTGTGAGACAGCTCAGCCCCCAGAAGAATTTCCTCTTAAATTACTGCATAGAGCAACACTTATAAAAGCAGATGCCTGAAGGCAGACTTTGATATAATCCTTTTTATAAAGTGTTCTGAGGTCCTAAAATGCCAGCAGGAACTGTCACGTGGGAAAGCATTCTGAAAAAATTATCTATTTAGAAATGTAAATAAAAATAGGTGGCCAAATCTTTTATTGTCTTCTCAGGAAGAAAACAATTTACATTTCCAGAATTACACTAAACAGAAATGCAATTTGGCTACAGATTGATAAATATCAAGATCCCCACCTGACTGACAAAGTGCCTTATTGTCATGATGAAGCTTGTTAGTGTTCAGGATGATTTTGAGTGTGTTTGGCTGATTCAAGGGATGTAGGTTGATTTCCCTGCAATACATACTGAGCATGTGATCAATTTACATGTCAGATTTCTGGTCCCACAGATGTCGTTCTTAATTACAGAAAATTCTGCAAAAAAAAAAAAAAAAAGGCCTTTACAGCATAATAAGGAAGATTAAGAAAATCCCATCACTCACTCCTGAAATATGCAGCTCTTCCAGAATAAAGCATGGCAGCAATTTTAATCAGCATACAGATCAGCTTTTTAGAATTAGTAATAAAATAAAATGTCAAACTATCATACCACGGGGAACTTAGGAAGACAAAATGTAACTCATTACCACAATTACTCTAGCAGAATTAAAACTATTAACTACTGATCCCAAAATATGAAACATTAGAACAGGAAAGAAGAAATATTAGGGAATAATATCACCTTTGTGATAGAAAAACCTAATAAGTAAGATAAACATGTGTTTTAGAAACCCACAGCTCTGTGCACTCAGCACCCACTTTCCCATCAATAAACCCAAGGACAGCAAATCCAGACTGGATCAATGGGATGGACTTAATGACTGTGTCTCTAAATTCTAATAAAAAGGCTCAGATTTCCAGTGATATATTTTGTTCTCTGAAGGGCCTGAGTGTTTTTGTATCTTTGTGATCACCACAACCAGACACACACATTATTTACTTAAGGATATATTTTTCCCATGACCTTACAGACTCATTTCTCTGTCATGGAGAGGTCATGGAAGGAAGTTTGTTAGAAGTTAAATATGAGGAAGTGCAATAAAGCCTATCTATCTTATAGTAGGAAAAAATTAGTCCAAGAGTACAGAACTATTACATAAAAAGGTAAAAAAAAGCCAAAAAAGATTTTGAGCCTCTGCAGCCTTATAAAAATAGCCTGTGATAGTGCATGGGCAGATGTCCTCTCTCCTATGCAGTGTCTGATCAAAGCCCTTTTGGACTTCAGTGAAAAAATAATAATAAAAAAGCAAAGGGAGTGCAATTTCCATGGAAACTTGGAAAGAGATGTAACATTGTTTGCCGTAAGCGTCCGACTGTGAATGGAAAATTTTCCAGTTTACACAGATCTCAGCTATTATTTTCTTTGCAGTGCAAACTTGGGCCAAATATTTTCTGTCATATTAAAGATGCAAATAGTCAGTTTTACTTTCTGTCCAGAACAACTGTGCACAAAAGCTTCAGAATCCACAGTAAAACATCTGATATTTATCTTTCCATGAACCCAAAACACACATTAGAAAAAAAGAATAATTTGGGCTTCCTTTTATCTGCTTCTCTTCAGAAAGCAAAGGCAGCTCAGAAATCATCTCCTGTTCATGTGCAGTTTCAGACTAATAGACAGCCAGAGCATTGGCAGATGTGCCCACTGTAAATGGGAGCTTAACTCACAGGAAAATCTTCTGTTGAAGCACATAAGGTGATAAAAATATACCAAAAGCACAGTTTACATTAACATTTATGTAATTAATGAAGTGACTTTTATCTTACATGATTTTCAGAACTTGCTGTCTTGCTACTCCTCCCTTACCCAGCAGCAGGAATAATTGTGAGAGTCCAGGAATTAACTTTGAACAACACAAGCCCAAGTTCTGAGCTGGGCTGCTCCAGCAGCAGTGTTAAGCCTTGTGTGGGAACGATAACAAAAATGGATTGTGCAACTTTTCTTCCCTAAATGCAGCTGCCTGGTGTAGTGTGGGAGCTGTGATAATGACATGGCAGCTCAGGGGACACCTCTGCAAATCTGGTGCCTGACTTGCACTAGTCACAAGTTGGAAGAGTCCAGAGCTCAAATCTAAATTAGTCTGGAACATGTGTGCATGCCCAGACACTCCTGCCCTTCCCACTCCTGGACATGTCCCATAGAGCAAAGAACTTTTCTGCAGGAAATTCAATGATCTCAGATCTCTAGGGCTGAAATGTGGTTACAGCTTGGGGCCATATTTGTGCAGATTCGAGTCTTTAAGCAATACAACAAACACAATGGCAACATCAAACACAGCTCCTGAAGGATCTGGGCAGAACAGCTGTGTGATAGAGACTGATTCTGGTCCTGCTGGGAATCCTGGATATACTTGAGAGAGGCATTGTTTAAGGCAAGGCACTGCTTAAGAAGGATTTGGTTTTTAGCACAGATTTCATCATAGGCTGACTGAAGCTTTCTCTTCACAAGTTCACACACAGCCCCAAATGTCACGTTGATTTTATACCTGCCTGCCTAGTGAGATGACAGAGCAAGTCAATCACCTGGCTTTGCAAATCTATTTCCCCTTTTACATCTTGCAAATTCTACTCACACAAAGAAAGAGGAAGCAGCATGACTCAGCTCCACACTACAATGGCTGGAGCAGATCCAGACCTTGCAATCCTTTGGGCTTTCCTTACCAAAACACAAAACTGCAGCTTGGCTAATGTAAAGCATGCAGTGTTTGTGTAAGCAATGGGAGATGGGCAGCAGGCCAGCAGCTCTCCCAGAGCAATGTGCTCCTTCTTTACATTGATGGCAAATTATCTTCTGAAGAGTTCAGCAAGGAACAAAAGAGCCAAAGGGCTCTGATCTTAAAATACTAAGGAGAGCTGTATTCTGTAGTCATGGATTTACATTGAAATCTAGTGGCAAATAATGAATTACTTCAGCAAGTTACACATAATGCCATACCAGTAAATATTTTTGTATAACCTCTAAATTACATAAGTCTTAGACACAGGAAAACTACTGACCTTAGAGAATCCAAGAACTTCAAGTAACTTCAAGTTTCAAGAACCCTGAGTCCCAGTGTTTTGTCCAAACCACTAGAAAACAGTATCTAAAGATCAGCTACACTAAAAATTCAGCGTGGTCTAGAAATTAATCCTGACCAGTTTGCTAATACCTGACCTACAGATGTTTTTCATAAAGAGCATCCACATGGTGAGTTATGGCACAGTAAATAATGCACTGTAAACACACTTAACTTCGCTGTGTAAACAAGCTCGGAGCAAAATTCGTCAAGAACTTCATTTACTCCCTGAATGCACAACAAAATTGAAGGATTGATGGTTATCTCATAGCAATGTAACTCAGAGATAAAGACCTCAAATCTAAACCTGTTTCTTGGAACAATGATGCACATTCCAGCCCAGCTCTGGGCAGAGGGATGGCTCTGGCATTTCAGGCACTGCCTTCACAGGGGGGAATCACAGATCAGGACAGAAATGTGTGCAATAATAATAAAGTAAGAAAGAGGCATCAGCCAAGAGATTTCTCTGAAATGGCCCTCACCTTCCAAAGACTGACTTACAACAAGCAGCTCCCGGGGCTGTGTGTGTGGGGTGACTGAGCAGCATCAGAACTTGCATCACTCACCAACCAGCCTCACATTGCTTCAGAGGATAAAAGGCCAAGTGGCTTCAGGGCTCTGTTAACGTCAAAAGATGGTTCATTGAGCAGACTTTCTGCTTAGCAAAGCTGAGCAGCTTTTTCCTTATTCTTCCCCAGAATGTTTTGGGCATTGTCATATGCTTGTACTACAAAACTTGTAGTTACCCAAAGCCAGTTCATGAACGGAAACATCTCTTTTCATTCCAAAGGAAAAACAACTTCTATGCTGTTTTGCTCAGCAAGCTGAAAACTTGGAGAGAAACCTAAAGCTAAAAAAAGCAAAGAACTCAAAAAGATTCATATTCTGGACTGTGGTTTCTGCTGCTTTAGCTCAAGGGAAAATATGGTCATGGGAAAAGGGCTTGCCTGGAGCCAGATTTTTTTCAACTCTGACTCTTCTAGCTGGAGTGGCTTTAAATCAATATGTTGCTATTATTTCTTCATAAACAGAAATATTCTTTATGGGCAGTGTGATAGCTGTTTACAAGTGAAACAACCACTTGTATCATGTTTCCTAGCAATCAGTGTCTCATTCAGATTTTATACACAGACAGTGATTGGGTAATTTGAGAGACTTTTACATTAGTTCCAAGTTTCACTGATTCAAAGTGTTAAATCACTCTCCCAAAAGAGAGTTCCTGCACAGAGAACTGTCAGTTTTGTCACCCACCTCTGCAGCTACACACAGCTAAAGAAAACACCACCACACCTTAGAAAAACAAATCTTGCATGGCCTAATTTTGAAGAATCTTACTGTCATGTTATTGTGGACTGTCTTTAGTACTGCAGTTCACTTTTGTCTTTAGCCAGCACTAAAGCAGATTGTAAATATAATAGAATTCCACACGAACCCTGCAAAGACCACCTACAGACAAACCTGCCCCAGGCAATTCAGAGAATTTCTGTCTGTCTAACACTGCAACAAGTTGTTATATAACAAAATGTGATCATGCTGCCCAGACACACCATGCCAGATCCCAACAAATGTGGTTATCATTATTCTAAATGCTGTATGAACAGAGCTTCACTAGGAATTGTGATCCCCATCATACAAAAGCATTGTCTTTTGCATTAATTAGATTTATGAGAAGAACTAACGAAAATATCTAATATTGTCTTTCTTGAGATTCCTCAAGGCTTTTCAGAACGACAGTCAGCTCTCCTGAATGTTAAAGTGAACTTCAACCCCCATTAAAACTGCAGTGGAATTCTGCTGGAAAGAAAAACCAGTTACCTGTGGTCTATGACTGTGACATCAGAAGCAGGAATCCCCAGGACACAACAACTCTGTTCCAGCTCTTTCTTACGAATCTCTCCTTGATTGTAATAATTTCCTGAAAACAGCAAACACAGCAACACCATTTAACTCAGTTTAGATTCACATCGAGGAGTCCAAACAGTTCAGTATCTTCTTCCTCATTCTATTCACAGAGGAAATTAAGGCAGAATTAATATGGCAAGATTGCAAAAAACTTACAGAGGCAAAAGGAGATAGAAAACTTAACTAAGATAAAGGCTGTTGGGAAAAGCTGTAGCAGAGATCAACAACTAACAAGGAAATGGGATTCATTATCTTAAAACACTGCCTCTTTCTGTGCTGAATTATTTTCCTCTCATCTTGCCCTGACATTCCCTTATTTTCTCTTGGCATCAGCCACGCAAAGGCCCTGCCAGAGCTGTGATGCCCCTTCCAGAACGTTGCTCTATGCAGGGTAATACTTGCAACTCAATTTTAATTTTGAAGAAATAAAATGAAAAAAATACAGTTGAGTATTAATATGTGATTCAAGTCTGTAGTCAGCTGTCTTGAATTATACTAGAACTTTTTATTGTTGTGGGTGTGAGTCATCTAAATCTAGCATTTCTTTGGAGCAGTGTTGCAATCTGAGCCCTCACTAGCGAGCTTTGTAAAATTTTCAAAGAGGGAAAGAGTAACTAGGAAAAAAAAGCCTCTTCCCACAGCCTGTGACTGAATGACTTTGGGAGGCTGACAGTGACTGACTGAGGGATGAACCTGGGATTGCAGGTTCCAGCTCCAGCAGCATGAACTGAAGGGTGCAGCTTGTCTGGAGTGACTGAATGAGTGCAAGAGGATTCATTTCAAACTGATTTTTACCAGGCCATTACCAATACACTGCTGGAAGGTGACAGCTTTTGCTGCAGTGCAGTGTCACAGCAGACTGCAGGTGATGCTTTATCCAAAAAGTCCCACTGCTCTCAAAATACCTGACTTCTGCTGAACCCAAAGCTCCACAGCTGCAGAAATGTGTCAGGACATCAGGAATATGTCAATGCTCACAAGAAAAACTGGGCAGCTGTTGAGAGCAAAACCAGCTGAAGAGCTGATCTGCTGGACCTCATCCATGGAGCACTCACAACAGAGCCAGCTACTACAGAGAGCAAAGCACATTTAGACTGAGTTATTAATTCAATCTAAGATTATTCAGCGTGTCAAAGACTGATTTCTTTTTCCCAGTGCTGTAATTCTAACTCATTTCTAAGTCAAATTGATTGATAACTGAAAACTGCAAGTACAATGGTTTTTAAGTAATGATTTTGTCTCAGCGTTAACAATTTGCAGTGTCTTTGATCAACTCACTTGTCATCATCAATCACTCAAACAATGAGAGGATGAACCATCTGAATCACTCACAAGACTAATCAGAGGCTTTTAAAATAAAAATCTCTTAGCTCATAAAGGTGCTCTCCCCTACATTTCCTTACAAGAGAGAAAGTACCTAGAAGGAAACATCAAACATGCTGAATGTGTCATGCCACCGAATCAGGAGTAAAGAAAATTCAACAAAATAAACAGAAACACAACACTTCTTTGGAAAGTTCCCTACCAGCAGCAGGGTATTAGTCCCCAAAAGTGAAATGGCAGAGCTGCACTTCAGTAATCTCCCCAAAGCTGTGGAGAAGCCAAAAGACCCAGACCTGTCCCTCAGCAGAGACAATGAAAGCTCTGCACTGAATCTTGAATGGGAAGTGCAGAGCCATCAGTGAAGCCACCAAACCACTGGACTTCAATAGTTTAATCCCTGTCTTCTCACCTGGATGGTCTGGCAAGACAGAAAGCTTTGGAAATGACAGAAATGTTGGCAGTGAACTGGCTGGAGCTGCCAAAGGCACAGGGGGCTCCTTCCCAAAGCAAAGCAGCTCTCGGTGTAAGAATTTTGGTACTGCAATACCAAATACTGAAAGATCAATTCAAACGAGGTTGTTCCTTATGCACAGAAGCCTGAACAATGGAATAACTGCTCAGGTATCAGCTCTGCAGAACAATCTGGAGCTTTAGCAGATCACGAGAAGAACACGAAAGTGTTGTGCTGTGCAAAGTTCTCATTCTGGGCAAACAGTGGAGCCTGTAAGAATCCTTCCACTCTACTCAGCCCCAGCAAGGCCCCAGCAGCAGTGCTGCTTCCAGTTTGTCATCACTGCCCTTCCAAAAATTACATGAACCAAAGGAAGAGTCCAAAGGAGAGTGATGAGAACGATTAGAGGTTTAGTAAACATGATCTGTGAGGGAAGACTGCAAGTAATCAGGTTGTTTAGTCTGGAGAAGATAAGGCAGAAGAGGCAGATAACAGTCCTAAAATATGTAAGAGGCTGTTACAAAGGGATACTCTGATTTCCACGTTCCTGTCAGGCACGAAAAAAATAAACAAACAAGCTTAAATTACAGCAGTGACTCAGGAAAAAGTGATTTGAAGGAAAGCTAAAGCAGCACTACACAGACCCCACAGCCTGAGGCACCTCCCCGGACATTCTGGAGAACAAACATTTGTCTGCAGCAAATGAAGACACATCGATGCTGCCTCCAGGTCAACTGGAGCACTGGAGATGGACAGCACGGCCTCGCATTCCCTCCCGGGCTATCGTTCCAAGGATTACAATGTAAGTGCTATTTTTAGACGTGTTACAGTGAACGTATCGCGACATTAAAACTGGATCATCCAAAAATGTCCTCTGCAAGACGACAGAATTACAAGGCGATGCCAAAAGGCCGTGCTAAAGAGCACCTTTGACAGCCCATTGACACCTCAGTGTTGCAACTTTCAATTTGCACACGTTCCCCTCTGTTCCGGCACGGCACGCTTTTGTAAAGGAGAGGGGAGGCGAGGCACGGGGAAGGAGAGGCGATGGCCGCCGCGTGCCTCAGTTTCCCCGCAGCCGAGCACCTTCCACCCCGCGCCACGGCCACACACGTGGGGAGCCATCACGGCGGCCTTCCCGTGCCCCGGAGGGGGAAGGGGGGGGGGGGGGGGTGTGTGGAGATGTGGGTGCGTGGGTGGTCCCCGCTCACCTGCGGAGCAGCAGAGCACGGCGGGGGCGGCCCCGGCGCTGCGCAGGCCGAGCAGGGCGGGGGCGAAGAACATGGCCTCGTCATCGGGGTGCGCCGTCAGCACCAGCGCGCGCCCGCCCCGCGCGCACACGCGGGACCCCGCGCGGCCCCGGCGCAGGCGGCGCGCGCCCCCGAGCAGCAGCAGCAGCAGCAGCAGGAGGAGCGGCGGCAGCGCCACCGCCACCGGCGTCCCCCAGCACCACGGGCCCGCTGCCATGGCGACCGCCCCGCGCCGCCGCCGCGCCGGCGGGAAACGCCAGCCGCGGCACGAAGGTTCCGGCGCACGAAAGGGTCCCACCCCCCTTTCCACGGCCCTCCCGTCCCCGCCTCGGGGCGGGGCCGCTCGGTCGCTGCCGCGGAAACGGGGCCCGGGCTGTGCCACTCCGGGGCTCCCGCTACTGCTGCGCCAGGGCCGCCCGTGAGGAGCAGGACCCTGCCCTGGCCAGGCCTGGCGGGTCTCAGGCGAGAGCGGGGCCCGAGGGTTTGCACTGAACACGGGCTAGTGCGAAAGCCGTATTGCCCCGACCCTGCCGGTACCTCAATAGTGATTAATAGTGAAAAAAGTCGAGCTTTTCAGCCTGTGGTACCTTTTATCCCTGAAGAGATGCGGGTTAGGGGGAAGCT